TTGTCACAAAATGAGTCAGTTTGTCGTGCAATGGAACGGTTCCAACACTCATCTGAGACGATAAGCAGATATTTCACCATATGTTTGAATTCTCTTGTGAAACTTGCCACCAGGTCATAAAACCATCGGATCCAACTTTCGCACGAACTTCATCAAAAATTGAACGCGATACGCGTTATATGTCATTCTTTAATGTTGAGATTACAATATGTACTATTGATATTTTGATTTAGTTAATTAGGAAAACATAATCACAAGGATCTTTTCAGGACTGCATCGGTGCAATAGATGAAACACACATTGATGCACGAATATGAAACGATGATAAAGTTGCATTTATCGGCTGCTGCGGAGTCCCAACGCAAAATGTTACAGCGGTCTGCGATTTCAACATGTGTTTTACATTTTTCATGCCTGGTTGGGAGGGTAGTGTGTAGGACAGCCGAATTTTCAAGAATGCAACGTGGAATCCCCAATACAACTTTCTGCACCCTCCGCACGGCATATTGCATCATGAGTTCATAAATTTTTCTTTTGTACATGTTGAACTTAAAATGAAAAAAAAAATTCACGAAAGTATTATTTGGTCGACGTTGGGTATCCATTGCAGCGAGGTTATCTTAAATCATATCCTAATACCAGATATTACATACCCGATCTTGAACGAGCCAGCAAAGTTACACGGGGCCGAAAGGAGATGTTTAACAAAAGATATTCACCCTTACGAGGGGTTATCGAGAGAAATTTTGGGGTTTAAAAGAAGTGGGTGCGCGATATGTCATCTTACCATTTCCGTCCAAATTGTTATAGCAATGATGGCACTCCACAATTTTATTCGGCGCCATCCTTCCTGAATTGATGTTGATTTCCACAGTGCTGAAGAAAATCAACAGGAACCCCCTATTTAAGTATATGAATACCACATTGGTCATTCTTTGCCACAAGGTGACAATGATCATACCACAATTTGTACGAAGGATGGAGAAGGTGCAAATGAAATGACGGTTCTTCGAGAACAGATTACTAATGCTTTAGTTGGAGGGTGATTGTGTACATTCTACAGTTGTGTGTGAAAAAAATAATGGTGGTTATGTTTGGGTGTTATTGCTATAATATAATGATGCAAATACTTTGCGCAAATACTTTGCTCAAATACTTTGCTCTGAATTCATGTGGCCTCAAATGGGGTCGTGACTGTGTAAGGCATTCAAGAGATAATTACTTCATTATGCATGGTGTTCAATGGTTTGTCCTGGCTGGAATTCCCTGGTGTGAAGTTTTATGTTGCGTACATAGCATTACACTCATCTTCTCTGTCTTCTACCCTTGAGCCTGTTTTGTGCTTGTAGATATATAAATACATTGGAGTTTAGTGGTTTGTCCTGGCTGCAATTCCCTGGTGTGAAGTTTTATATTGGGGAATTCTATGAATACATTTACAGCAACCAGAAATTGTAGTTGGTTCATTTGCATCATTTGAGGTGTTCTGCAGTTTTTTCTTGCTTATTCCAAATGGGCATGGATTTGCCCATCTGGATGGGGTTGTTGTTGCTGCAACCTCTATCATTGGGGAAGTCTATGAATGCAAGGGTGGGGGAGTTCTCTATTATTTGCTCTACCTGATAGGTGAAAGATTATTAAACATGAGTTAGGGTACTTGATTTATATGATAGGTAAGTGTGATAACTTTATTAGCAGAGAATTTTAATGAGTTAAGGGAACTGCTTCATTTGTTTTTCTTCTTTGGGTTTATCTAGCTTGATATCATTGACATTGTTTGATAGTTATATCTATGCAGCAGCTACATTCTTAAGTTTAGGTGTTAGATATGGTAATTCATATGAAAGGTTTGCTTATTGTTTCAACTTCGCATGAAAGGTTTGCGTATGGTAGCTCCTTGTTTTGGCCTTGGTGATTCTTTTTTGTTACTTCATTTAATGTATCTGTTCTGAAATCACAAAGCAGGGGTCTGTGAATGGGGCTGTAAACGAGCCGAGCTTGAGCGAGCTCAAGCTGGGCTCGTATTCGGCTTGTTCGAAATAGCTCGTGTTCGAAATCGACTCGTGTTCGAAATCGGCTCGTGAACAGTGTGTTCGTGTTCGGCTCGATTTAAATATTCGTGTTCGTGTTCGGCTCGTGTTCGGCTCGAAATTGGCTCGTTAAACTAAAATTGAGAAAAATAGATGTAAAGTGTGGGATTCGAACATGGATCAAATCTATACAAAAGAAGACACTAACCACATTGCCACATGAGGTGTTATGATTTAAACTTAGACACAGTTGCTATCATACGAAGGTTTGCGTATTGTAGCTCCTTGTCGTGCCTTGGTGATTCTTTTTTGTTACTTTATTTGATGTATCTGTTCTAAAATCTCAAATTAGGGGTCAGTGAAGTTGTTTCTGTTTCCGGTTGAACCTGTTTTGCTCTCTTTAATGAACCGGTTATATGAATTATGGGGATAGTTGGTTATGGAGAAAGCTGTTGGTGCTATGTATGGCTAACTCTGTTGCTACAAATTGTTGATTTCTACCAGCTACATGGAAGGCATCATTTTATTTTTTTCACAAGGAATACATTGTATATGTATGAAAATGGCCACACATTTTTTTTTCGTCTACTTTCGTCTCTTAGCAATGACAATGAGACATTGTTGATTGGAAGCAATGACAATGAGACATTGTTGATTGGAAGCAATGTAAGAATTTTTTTTTTTCAGTAATGAAGATATTTGATTCCTTTCCTGTGGATATAGGTCAGCATGACCGAACCACGTTAAATCTTTTGTCCTTATTTGGTTATTTAATTTGTTTCTTTTAGGCTCTGTAATTCAAAATTCATACTTGTATTAATGGTATATCTCAATTTCCTAAACTTTATAAATGTTCTCATTCAATGTATATTTTTGTCGTATTAATAAAAATGAGCATTTACAAATAAAGATCTTGTTACACCTGCACTGTTTTTGCTCTTTTGTTGCATTCAGGAGAAGATGAGCTCACCGATCTCCGGGACATCCCGACGAACACTCTGTCACTGTGGCCTCCAACCCTCACTTCTAATGTCTTAAAGTCATGTCGGCCACACAACTACAGGAGGAAATTATATACTTGCCCATGGAGCATCGTCGAACAGTATAGTTTCTTCCTTTAGGCGGATGGTTCGATTGATTCCTCAGATGACGTTGATCGAGATTGGAGAACATCACTTGAGCAAAGTCTGACACGAGAGCTACACCGTGTAAATGTTAAAAATAATATAATTATCTTATTAATTATCATTGTAATTGTTTTAGAGATTTTTTTTTCTCTCCTTACGTTATCAGTTATTTGAGATGTATGTAATTCTGGACTGTTATTATTGAAGTTTGGACTTAACAGTAGTCATATACCTCCCTGAAATCTTTTGTTATGTAAACGATGAATTTTTGTTCTAATATATAGCACAAAAGGGTACTAAAATTCGCAGTCTATTTTTTTAAGCAACATTTACATTTACATACCCATCACCCAAATGAAAAAAAAATGGACATCCCTTTAATTGGCTTTTTTTTTAGTTTTCATCGATATTTGATAAAAAATAGTGAGTTAAATAATTCATTAATAATATGTTAAATCCTAAATGGAAAATAGATTTAATGCATTCGTGTCACCAAATATAAGAGCATTCCTATAACAAGTCTTTTATTTCATATGTCCACCCATCTAACAAGTTAACATTTTAAAATATATTAATCAATCTCATAAATTTATTACATAAAAATTATTAACTAATTACCCAACAATTACATTTATTACATATTTAACACTATGAAGTTTCAATAATTTTTACATAATAAATTTTGCTTATGGGGTTAAAAAAATTTCACACTTACAGTCTTCTTTTAAACAGTTTTACCAAAGAATGACAGAATGAACATTTTTTCCAGAAACAGCTGATCTGCAGTTGTTTTCAAACAGCTGCACCAAACAGACAGTTTGTTTCCCCGCAGCAGCTTCCTGTGGCAGCTCGGCTACAGTTGAAAAGCTGGGAAGCTGCAGCTGTGCCAAACAGAGCCTAAGTCATCGGTAAATAAGCGTCATGTATCAACTTCGGACAAAGTTTTTTAGGATGATAAAGTAAATGTCAATAAATTATTGATATCATAAAGATAATTTATAAACTTTATTATTATTATCATTATTATTATTATTATTATTATTATTATTATTCTTGTTGTTGTTGTTGTTTTTTTGTGATTGTATTCCTATCATTGTTACTGCTCTGTTATTTGTAAAATGAGGAAGATATTAGTATTCAAGTATGGTTGTTAATGAGGTGATCACAATCAAATCTGAAAAAAATTCAAGATTAGATCTAATCCTGACTTAAGATCAGACCAAATTCATTCAATCTGATCTCAAGTCAATCTAAATATGGTTATTGGTTCTCACAATCTGATTTTGATTCAAGTTGGGCATTGCTCAAAGACTTCAATCGAAGTTCAAAAATTAATCCAATCTCAATTAATAGAATAAGTTTCAATCTTGTCCAACCTACATGCATAGTCATTCCTAAATGCACATTCATAGATTCATATATATTAATGCATGGAAGCATTCATAGATTCATTCGAATTTAAAAGTATATATAATGATAGGTGCATGCACATTCATAGATTAAATTTCTTTTTTATCTGATCATGAGCAGCCTGATCCAATGTAGTTCCAAGCTAATTCAAATTCAATTCAAAGTGTGCTCTGCACATTGACTTTATTCCAAGCCAAAAACGGATCAAACTTTTTAGCAATCTTCAAGCTAAATTCAAAATAATACATTCAAGAAAAAATTAGGTAGAAAAAACAATTTTATGAAATATACATAAGCTTAAAACTAGTCATATCCAAACAGGATTTTAACCATTCCTAATCACGAACAAGTAATGGAATCAATAAATATATTGACAAAATAAATGCCATTACCAAAAAAATTCAGGAAAAAATAACTGAGCAATGGCACATACATTATGTGTAGGACGATGATGAACGTATCATCAATTTCTGACTTTTTAACTCGGCAGAACCATGCTTAATCTGCAAAGCAACACGAGCATATCATGATCCACTAAACAAATGTCAAAAGTTAGAAATACTCAATTGATGTTCTTAAACAATCTTGTGACATTTGGGAGATTATATTTCGTCTTAGTTTTCTTCTCAACTTTGTCCTAAATTTTGGATTTACAAAACCCTACAATTGGGATTTAGTAAATCCAAATTTAATGATTTACTAAAGCTGCTAAAGCCGTTACCAAACAACCCCTTTAATAAAAAATTCTTCATAAGCTAAGGGCTTGTTTAGGATTACTTTTATTTTTTATTTTTAGTTTTTATTTTTGGTTTTGTTTTAAAAACATATTTGTTTAGTGCATTTTTTTGTCTTTTTCTTTTTTTAAAAAAATAATAATAATAAATTAGGCTATTTATAAAAACACTAAAAATATCTAAAAGTTATTTTAAGTTTTTTTAAAAACAACTAACAAACATATAAGATACAAAACATATTTTATTCCAAGTAAGAAAATATAAAAATAAAATCAAAAATCAAAAGTGATTCGAAACGATTCCTATACTAGTAAAGTTTTGTATCACTAATGTTCAAATCTAAAGTAACCTACCTGAATCAAAATCTAAACTTAAAAGTGTGCTTCTTTAAAACATTTAGCTGAGAGAAAATATCCTGTCATTGCTCTTCATGTAGCAACAGCTATACCCTGAAATCCAGTTATATTCTCTGCCCATAAAAAATTATATTTCTGCAGATCAAGATTCTCTTACACCAAAATCTCTACAGGAAAGATAAGTAACCAATAGCACAATAAACAGTTAGAAGTGTCCTCAATCAAGTTTCAATATGTCAATGCTTCTGCTGCTGATGTTCATCAAATATGGGGAAAAAATTTATAAGTCTTCCCAAAAACCTCACTATATTTGTATCATTCAATCCAAATTCAGAAACAAGGTGCAATCAATGTCTTGAAGAGAGATCTTTCCCAAGAACAAATCAGTTGCATGCTTGGAACAAAGAGGCAGACACTTTTTGTTCAGAGCCTCATGAATTGCACCCATCCCATGCACCCACTTCTCTTCATTCAGGGGGTCAACATTTAATCTGTTTTGCAACAAACGAACTCGATAAATAACAGTATTTTCGCTTTCACAGAAATGGGCCAAACAAACAGACGAGTCTTCATTGAAAGCTAATCTGACTAAAGCCATGGTTATGGCACCATCCACAGGTTTTGGATCTGAAAGTTTTCTTTCTCCCAACATCCTTATTTCCTTCTCAGTGGAAAAATGCATTTTTTCCACTCCATCTTCATCGATAATCTTTAAGTCCTTGGTATAGTGTTGAATAGCCTGCTTCTTGGTGGAATCATGCTTTTCAGCAAGGGTGAGAAGACAAGAAAAACGTAAGTGATAACTTACAACAGTTTTAACCATCTTAAAGTTGCGACAGCAGCAGTAGAAATCTAGCCATCTCCTTGCAACGCCTGCATACCATTTTATGATATCAGAATCATCCAAGCAGATCAGTAACTTGATGGGCCTGGGACGTCCCATAGAGTTTGTAAAGCCGGCCAGTTTTATGGCCCTTCTCACGAGCTCCATTGGTGCATTTACTCTCACATATGATTGTACCAAATCCTCCACTGTTCTTTTTGCATATCTCTTCTCTTCGTCTTGTTCTTCCATTTCATTCTCTTCTAGTTGCTTGCTAGTTCTCTTGGGCATAAAATGTTCATTCAATTTCTCCTGAAACTGATCATAAGCAACGACCAAAGATTCAGGCAGCTGATCCCTCACCCTCTTCAGAGACAAGAAGTCGCCAGAGGTTAGCATTTTATGCCAGTGGTAGCACTCTTCTTTGGAATTCAGGTACTCCACCACCACTTCTTCTGCCCACATTCTAAACAGCTCTCTAACCTCGCTCTCAACATGCATGTCAATTTTGAACCCACCAACATGCTTCAGCTTCTTGAAAACATGTTTAAGTATCTTCAATCCAAGCTTTTTTCTTGTTGTTTCACGAGCATTTTTCAGCTCAAGAACTTTGGCAGCCTTTTGCTTTAAATGCTTCTTCTTTGCTCTCATGGCTTTTTCAGACAGTGGGGGGTGAAGAACCAAAGGAGAGACAGCTTGGATCTCCATTCCCATGAAATCCATCTTTTCGGAGACAGCACTATGGATGGAGGCCTTCAGTTTGTCCACCGTCAGACTCATCTGGCTTTGAACATATTTCAAGATCCTATCTTTGATGTCGATCATTAGCAGCTTAGAGCCAGAAGTGGCAATCAATACCTCATCCAAGTACCTCACAGCATAAACTCGTACCGGTTTATGAAAAACCCGTGAGTCTTCTTCCCTATCCAGGTTCTTTAATTTCGGATTCGTGCGATGTACTTGCGCTCGAATCTCCTGAATCTCCTTATCCAGGCCATTGAAGTAGATGTTCACAAGAATTGAGTTCAAACTACTTTCTTGAGGAAAGCCTCGGCCCAAATCAAGTCCTCCGAGCTCGATCGCAACTGCCTTCGATTCGAATAGCCGCTCAATGAATCCAATCAATATATCATCATCGATCTTCTCAGCCAGAACGGCCTTCAACCGACAGAGATCCATGGCTTGTCTCCTAAGAGACACACAGAACCACCAGTTCGGGTTTTCGAGAGCGGCTTTGAGATATCTAACGGCTGTATGACGGCCCATCCCCGCTCGACCCCCCCGCCCCCCCGCCATAAGCGAAGGTGGCGATGCGCTTCTCGTAAACAATTTCCAGGGCCATGCGAACTGCCTCCATCACAACTTTAAGCTTAAGATTAGGGAGGACCAGATGAGGCCCCTTCTTCCGAGAGGGTAAGAGCTTGACGCATGAGGATTCAGCATCCATCCGACCGGAGCGGAGATCGAAAGCGAGATCTTCAATACAGATAAGGCGGTTGATGGAATCAGAAGAGAGAGGAACTTCTTCGTCGCAAAGGTTCCGGCAAGCGGCGAGGAGGAAGGAGGGTTCCGATATTGCGGCACGGAAGAGATCGCGGAATTTTCCATTGCTGTATTGGCGGAGGATAAGAGTTTGGATTTCAGATGAAGTATAGGAAGCAGGGTTCCCTGAGACCGAACGAACGATTTGGAAAAAGAACAATGGAAGAGTTTTGGAGCACGATAGTCGCCGGAACCCTAATCCAGAGAGCATGGAAGGAATGGATATAACGGCGGATGTAGTTCAGAAGGAGATTAGGATGGGATAGGAAATGACCAAACTGCCATTAGCTTGTGCATTTTTTTTCACCAAATCTAACTAACATTTTTTCCACCAGACCTAACAAACTCTGTCATAATATTTTAAAAAAAAATATTTATAATATTTACCACATCTTTTTAAACAACATTCTCTTCTTTAACAGCTTCACAATTGTCTCTTCAAACAGCTGGAATTGCCGCAAACAGACCCTTAAAGATGACATTTACTAAGTTTTTTTTCTTACATTTGGATCTCTTATATCTTTTATATCACAACAACAATATTATTTTCTCAATTTCTTAAAAAAATATACATTTTTATACAGATATAAAGTGACATGTATGTAAAAATTAAAATTTAAGCGTTAAATATATAAATATATAAGAATTAGGTGATATGTATGAAAATCCCCCTTTTAAAAAAAGAGGATTGACATACATTTTATAAATTTCTTATTTATTTACAAATCTAAAGCCCAAACTTTCATGAGTATTTTTATAAATGTTGTGTCATAAACATGACAACAAAGAAATATTTCACTTTTAAAAAATTAAAAATCATAATATTTTTTATAAGAAAATAAGATTTAAGTGTTTTGCATGTAAATATGAAACTTTAAGTGTTAGATATATAAATACATTAGAATTGTGTGGTATGTATGCCCCTTTACATAAACATATATTTCTTTAGTTATTTAAGGCTAATAGTTATATAACTAAATTTTGAAATTTGGACATTGAATTGAAATTAAAAGGCATTTAATATTTGATGATTGAATCATGGTAGAACCAAATATTGAATTAAGTGATGTAATAAATATTAAATTATTTAAATATAATTGAATATAACATAATAACAATGTAATATGTAAGTCAATTTAATTTAATTTTTTTTATAAAAATACATAAATATAAATTAATTATAATATCATCATCAATTTTCATAGCCCAATTTCACACATTTCATATAAATTTAAGATGAGTGACTAATCTCAATTCCCCAAAAAAAAAAATACTTCAATTCCTCTATAAGCTTTACTTCAATTCCTCTATAAGCTTTTTTTTAAGTCTCTAATTGAACATATCAACAACATACACAAATAAAGCCATTACTCTCCTTGTATCTAAGTGCTTAATTCATAAGATGTCAGCATATTGACTTTATTTATATCTTGTGACTGTTATTCTTGTTGGCAAATGCCTGAATCAAGCACTGAATAATTGATTGAGACCATGCAACACTTTCTTACGTTTTGGAACCTATTGATTCCAAATCCCCCTCCAAAGTCGAACGAATATTCGTGCACCTTTTCATCTTTAGATCGCCATGAAGAAATGCATTTGAATGCCTAATTGTTGCAAATACAAGTGAAAGTTGACATCTATTAATTCTTTTCATATGCCTTGTTATTCCCTAATGCTTCTTCAGTCTCTACTCTCATTGTTTTCATCAACGCTTTTTTGAACAATGCCCCGTGTAATATTTTCTAAATTGAAATGATGTCTGATATCACAGCAGACTTTTGTGGGATGATGAAAATTTCTGAGTGATACAACGTGAGATCTGCATAATATAATGGGCATGGGCATTAGGTACGGCCGTAAGTTCTTTCAAATAACAATTGACAAGTCAAGGTCACTGGTTCATCTTCAAGAATATTATGGGACGTATGCTCACAAACTGTAATTATCATTTTTGTTATTTGAGGAAGATCATTGAGTCTGTATTAGTTCTAAAAATGGAATAGTTCTTCTTAAATACATATATTTATATCTATAGGTGGCATGATTTGGGGTGTTTACGTTTTGAGGAGGGCGAAGAATAAGTTTAATTTGTTATAATGGTAGAGTATTATTGACACTCTTTGACTAGCATGATTTTCACATAAAATCCTTCAATTAAAAGGTTATTATTGACACTCATTAAAATTCCAATTAGCTTCCTCTTCTCATAATTCTAAAACATTTAACAAGTGAAAAGGTGTTACTTTGTAGTTCATTTCATGGGAGAAATTTTTAATGGGCACAAGGTTAGTATAAAACCTTAAAACATGAAGAACATTCTTTAGAATAAGTGGTTCATAATTTAGGTATCTCTTAATCTAACTATTATGGAAGACAGCCATCAAATAGAAAGATTTTCTTATTACTTGGGAAAAAAAGTACATGTGTTAAAGTTTAATACTGAACGTATCATGTGAGTTTTAGCTTTTGAATTAATAAACTCAAGTCAGAATCCCATACATGAGACTTCTAGTTTATAAGGAATGATAAACTTACCAAAATGTCGAGAAAAATGCACCCTTGGGTTTAAGATTTGTTAACATATCCAAAAAATTCTTTTTGAGCATTTTAATCTCATTTTTTATTAAATTCCTCCTAATATGGACTTGCATATCCCTCCTCCCTCCCCCTCTCTCCTTTCCCTATCTCTCGCTCTCTCTCTCTCTCTCTTTCACTCTCTGTCTATCTCTATCTATCTATTTCTCTGTCCATCCATCTTTGGTAAATGCCTCTGTTATGAAGTTTGATCAGCTACAATAGGGATCACATAAACTCTCTAAGAAAAAACAACTAAGGGAGCATGCGTAAAGAAATGAAGGTTACATCGAGATAATGTTCTAATTAATGGAAATATCTCAACCGGTCACAACATTGAGTGAATATGATCTGTAAAGGAGAGAAATGTGGAGAAAGTGGAATCGTAGAATGCATGCAACTCTGTGGTGAAAGCATGGAATCACCATCAACTAAGAGCACTATAATGCAGAGCAATTGGGAAGGTATGTGATCCTAACCTTGCCTGCAATCATCAGGCTTATGCATAAATGAGAAGAGATTAATGATGTGTAAAGAAATTACTATATTAAAGATGATGATACAATGTAGAAGTAACATCAATCATACTTGAATTTAAAAATGTGTGGAGATATCATGCTGAGAGAATTGTAAAGAGAAATTTGATGATGGCAGAATTGAAGATGACAATAAAGTGAGGAAATTGTATGAGTCTGAAAGTGCTGAGAAAAGTGAACAGCTTAGAGGTAGAAGCAATGACAACAAGTGGCAACTCTTAATGTATGTATTAGAAAATGAAGGCTTAGGAATGATACATCAATGAAGGCTGATAATGCATAGAACTATGTGTTGGAAATTGCGACGCAATTTTTATTGGGGCTGAAACCGATAAACTTGATTTATGATATTGTAGTGTAATTTACATGTTATTAAGGTTTCAAGGTCACCTCATGTGGGTCTCCACTCTCTGGTTGTACCTATTTTTCGACATACTGAAATCTTCTCCTCTTCCTATGATTTTCAACCACATAAATTTTCTTTAAAGTAAATTTGTGTGCCCGTCGATTTTTATTTATCGTTTATTTTCAATATTATCGTTGCAGGGTGAATGTGGGGAAGCGATTGAAAGAGTCTCATGCTGTGTGAAAGGCTCAAAAGCAGATAGCAATTCTTTTTATTTTACAAAGCATTTGATATAAAGCAATATATATACATATACATATATAAATATATATATAATTTGTCGCATATACACACCTCTCACAAATGTACTTCTATTCATAGATTACAATTAAAAAGCTCAATCATATGAAAAGTCACACCATTGTTGTTAGGCAGTCTTCTTGTATTCATTGAGAAGTTTTTGTTTAGAGATGCTTCAGCTTTCACTCTTGAAAGGTTTTATAAAGATTGCTAATTTCATTTAAAGAATGAAAATTCCATCCCTTTACTACTTAGACCCAATCTTAACATTAAAATTTTCTACTTACATATAAGAAAAAAATAGGCAGGATAAGCACCTGCACCTTGGAGCCGGTATCTTGGAAGCCAACCAATGTGCTACGTATTCAACCACATTAAAATCAAATACATGTTTCAATAAAAACTTATGTTTGTCTCCCTTTTCGAAGTAGTTTTTTGCACATTCCAGTGAATGCTTACCTGGACGGGATATTAACAAGTGATCGAGAATACATGTGGTCTGGACTGGTGACTTTCGTTGCACTTAGAAGGGGTGCTGGTCTGCCATATGCTCAAGTGGTAGAGTGGAAGCTATAATTTGTGGTGTGTCTGTGGGTGGGGGTGCGGGGGGTGATGCCATGACCATTCTTTCTTGCTATTATGATAAAAACTAGAGTTCTTGTAACAGCTTCACATACAAAATGATATTAATTTTACCTATTTTTGATATGCGAATGATATTTATGTAGTTCAGAATAACATAATCATTCCGTGTAAATTTAATATTATTCAAATGAAAGAAACATAATGCTTTTCATGCACGATTCCTCAGATGTGGAGCAGTTCAGCTTCAGCTTTGTAGTCTTCATCACTTCCTCTCAAAAAAACTGTGTGGCTCAGATCTTCATTTAAAAAGTTTTAGATTGGATTCATTTCATTTAGATTATCTAATATAAATGTTAAAGTGTGCAATATATTTTTTTTCTCTGAAAAACTGTGTTTCGATAACCCACGTATATATATATATATATATGCTAAAATGCCAGAACTAAAAATAGGCTTTGATTTAAAAAATAACTTAAATATGACTTTAACAATTAGTTTATTTAGATTTTTAGCTTCATATGTTCGGATTTATATAATTACTATATATTTTTAAATTTTTTTAAGAAATATACATGCATATATCTGACAAAGCACCCACAGTAGACTCAAATATTTATTTTGTTGGAGATCTACAAGGATATCACATATTTCTGGTGTAATTACATATCTGTCACTTAAATTTTGTTATTTAATTATAAAACATTTAATATTTGAATTAAAAAATATATATATTACTAGTATTACAGTTTAAACTGAAACACAAAAATTCATGTATATATTTTGATGTAATTGTGAGAATATAATATTACATAAAAAAATTTAAATATCAGACATGTAAATACATAAAAGTTTATATATTATGTATGCAGATTCTCCTTCCTTTTGTTAATGAAGGCAAGCAGACACAAAATTTCCAAAATTTACCATCAGATTGAACATTTACTTCCTTAAACTCCGAAGGAAAGGTAAATATGTAATTATACCAAAAAGGAAACCTTTCAACAGGTTTTCCTCACATATTATTCCATAGAAGGCTATATTAAATTCAAATTTGAAGAGAGGATTTAACCAAGAAGGAATGTCCTATTAATGGAAAAAAATTTATTGGGTTATGAGATTCCACTTAATCACACCCTCTGTCAGCACATATATCAACAAATTTAAGTGATTATTTAGCTTGAAATATAGATGGCGGTGATTAAGGAGCACCAGACTAATACATAAAATACCAATGTTCATCAATCCCAAAATTTCCCGTAAATAAAATAGATTTGACTTAATTGTTAATCGGCACGCAGCCTCTCCAATCACCCCAAAAGAAATCAATTCTAACTCAGCTGATAAGCAACACGAAAACTGAGAAAATCCACAGATTCGGATGTATCTACGATTGGAAAAGTAAGCTGATGCTCAATAGAAAGAATAAGAAGAAGGAGAAGGGGCCAATTTACCGGTGTGGAAAGAAATAAATCTGAAAATTTCAGAGAAAAGCATTTATTTTGAGTAAGAGCGAGGGATTTCACGATGAACATTACAATCAGAGGAGTAAAAATCGTTCTTTTCAATTAGGGATTTGGAGAAATAGTAATAAGACGAATTTTCCGGTTTTTTCATGGTCTCAGCTATGCGAGGTTTGAAAGGTAAAGAAGGTGCAAAATTGTAGCAAGAAGGCCTACCTCCGAAATCCTCCCCATCATAAGGAAAAGGAGCGCTAATATTACGCCTGTTTGCAGCCTTCTTCTTCTCGTGCTCACGGTGTTTGTTGAATTGCCTGAGGGGCAAGAGTACTATCTTATTAACTTTCGATCGGATCTTCGTTCTATTTCCGGGGAATCTCTCTTGCTTCTTGTCCTCCTCCTCGTCTTCTTTCCTCCGATGCTCTGAAATCTGTGGAAGTCGGGTCTGTTCCTGCCTCTCGTGTTGTACTCCGTCGTCTTCGTCTTCGTCGTCGTCGTCGTCCCGGTGGTGATCAGGATGCCCTATCTTTCGCGGTATGAGCTCGTCTATTTCTCCGCCGGAAGATTCCTCTTTTCCCCAACTTGCGCGATCAGACATGCGAAAAATTTTGCGCTTTATCATCCACAAGTTGGGAGCAGAGAGATGAAAATAATTTGATCAGATATGGCTGACCTAGAAAAATTGATGTTAGTGATGTAGGAGCAGCTGGAGCACAGGAGTCATAACTGTGTGGAGTTTCGAGTACGAATATGTTTAGGACTCCATTGGATGTATTCAACTAAAAAAGAGAAACTTTGTTTAAACTTGAAGCAATCAACTTTCTTAATAATAAGATGCAAGGGACTGTATGTAGGGATACAAGGATGAGAAGTGTAGAGATACAAGGATGAGAATTAAACGACTTGTCTCTTTATGACAAAATGGGCATACTCGTAGGCTTTTGTGACAATTTTATATATTCAAATCTTTTTTAATAAGTGATGAAAGAGAGGGGAACCCTCGTTAGTACAATATAAATATAGTATTTCTAACTCTACTCCTGTGAGGGTTTTACGTGTTATTTTAGGTATTTTATATATGTAGGACCGTGGCTGACCGTCGTATTCAATCATCTAAGTTGTGTCGATTGCCCAAGCTCGGACGGTCGCCTGGGTTGGGTCAATCGTCCCTCTGGATCGGTTGTCCGGGTCGGGTCAATCGTTCGGGTTGGGTTGGTTATTCAAGCTGTGTCGTAGTCGGACGTTGATTTTCAACATTGGCCCACTAAGAAATTCGGTCGGGCAAATTTTTAATGTACACATTCTATATTAATTTATCCTCTTATTAAATGGTTATTGTTAAATATGATGAAGCTTTTCCACTTATGTGGTTGAGCCATCTGCTAGTTGCACATAAGCTAAACCCAAAAGGTACAATTGACGTATTATTAAATTACTCAAGCCATAATGCCCTTAATTTAAATTAAATTAGGCAACTTGAGCCAATCGGTTGATTTGCAAACATAATTAATTTTCTTTTATGAACTCAGTGATGTGGAATAATGTAAGGTTATTTACATAAATTCATTTCATTTTTCTAAATAGAAAAATTAAGCGGTGCAATGAGATATAACTAACAAATATATATATATATATATATATACAAACCACGCACCAGCTGCATGCGCCATTCAAACTCTAAAGCAAATGAAGTTAAATGTTCACTTACAAGAACCCAAGAAAGTGTCCAATTAATAATTCATTCATGACCCATCAAAAGAGTTATATCAAGAAGAAATATTTTTTTTTGTATTTTAACTTTTATATTTCAACTTAAGTTTCTAGAAAGTTTGAATTTTCCGATTATGATGCTTTATGAGTGCACATAAGAATATTAATAAATTAGGAAAATGGTTAGCATTATCTACCACTCTTCAAATTTTTCTTCTCTTTTTGTAACTTTTTTTTATCATTGTAATACTTATAAATAGGATTGACATATAATGACTTTTGATTAGTCGTTGAATGAAATATTTGAGTGAAAATTTTCTAGTTTTGTTGTTTGGTGTTTGATGGCTAAAAGTGTTGCATTTTACTTTGGTGAGATTACATATTTTATATTTACTTTTCTTTTAAGTTATGTATTAATCATCTATATCACTTGTTCTAAATTTTTCACCACTTTTTTCATTTGTGTCCTTAGATTCATATAATATCAATAAACCAACAACCAGAGCCCACAACCATTCTATACCCCTCTTCATGCCTCTCGGCTAAACAAATTTGAAACCACCTATATGCTCCAAAACATAAATACACATCATAAGCTAACCACTAAATATCATTAACAGCTATTTACTCAATCTTAAGGCTATTTTGCAAGAGATATTTCAAATGAGTACAAAATAGCATAATCCATAATAGTCTTCATATTTTACCTATCATTCCCTCTTAAATTTTTTAACAACCCACCAAAATCTTTGCAGCACATCTTTAGACCTAATACCAAATATCAATAGCAAATTTGAGTGTTTTATCTCATCAAAAGGCCACTTACCTTTGTCATATTTGGTATTACAATGGATTTGGGAAGCCGTCATGATACAATAATTTTGTTTAGGAGTTTTCCCCTTACGTTGTGTGTAATGGCTCAACCATCAAAGTTGTAATTATAGTAAATTTCACCCCCTTTAATAGACCAGGTATCATATTTTAGTTATGATTCATTTACATGCAAGTGAGGAAGAGTTTGAAGATTTATTTTCTTGGCGAATAAATTTGATGAGTTTTTTTAAGCTTACATCTTATGTATTTTCCTTATTCTCTTACCAATATGCATTAAATAGTTTTAGAATGAGATATACTAAAAAATAAAGAATAAATTATTAGAATCAAGTGATCACCAAAACACATTAAAACTCTCAAACAAATGAAGCCAAATGTCCACTTATAAGAGCAAAAGCAAAAAACACAAGAAAGTGCCTAATTTAAAGTCCATTAAATACCCATCACATGAGACATATAAAGAATAAATTTAATTTTTTTATTTAAATTTTAAGTTTTTATAAAAATTGAATTTTCAAATTCGGATGTTTAATAAATTATGAAAGTGGTGAACACATTTCTCCACTAATGATCATACATCATCCTTAAAAATTTCCTCATCTTTTTTTTTTGACTTTTTTTTTTATCGTTGTAATTCATATAAATAAGGATGATGTGTAATTACCTTTAATCAATTGTTGAATAAAATATTCGAGTGAGAATTTTATCGCTTGTTGTTTGGTGTTTGGTGACTTAATTTTTTTTTCTTTAATGGAGATTAAGTATTTATCTTAACCTTTATTTTGATGTTTTTATTAATTCTCCATAACACTTACTCTAAATTTTTAACCACTCTTTTATCCATGTCCCAAGCTTCTTATAATATCAATAAACCAATAACCATAACCTTACAACAATTTCATATCGTTCATCATAGCTCTTCATGTTCCCTATCCCTCAATTTTATTATAAACACATCCAAAACCACCCATTTACTCTAGATCATATGTATACATCAAAATTTAACCACCAATAATCATTTTCAACCCTTTAATCAATTTTGAGCCACTTTTCGAAGAGATATTTCAAATCAGCCCAAGATTGCCTAATTCAGATTAGTCTTGATATTTTAGTCATCATTCCCTTCTAAATTTTTTAATTACCCGCTAAGATCTCCACATCACATCTTTAGACTTAATACTAAACATCAATAGTAAATTTAGCACTTTATCCCATTTAAAAGTCACCCCACCTCCATCATAGAGTTGTCCAAATTAAGTCTAACTTTTAAAACAAACCAAACCCAAACATTAGGGTATGCCAAAATTACTATTTAAATGCTTGATCTAATCTAATTATTAATGTTAGTTGATCTAACCGATCTTATTTTCATCAAGTTAACCCCATTGAACCTTCAAAATAGATTAATTTAATAAATTTAATGTAATTTTGTTGCTTGACCACACTTTGATTCTCATTAAAGTATACCCGCTCACATAATTAAATCCAAACATAAATCAACCTAATTAAATCATTAAATAAGATTTACTCGATCAATTTAACTTATTTAAATCATAATCAACATAATTTATTATTTAAGCTGACCCTTCTTAGTCAAATAGACATAATAAAACCTAAAATAAGTTATTTTTTTTCTTAATTAACCTAATTAATCTATGATTAAGCCAACATAGTCGCTGATTGACCCATCACCATATTGTGTTAGACTAAATTGATCAATAAAGCTCAATAATCCTCAGAAAAGTATTCAACTTCTTCTATGATAAACATAACTGAATAATCAAGTCTAGATTATCCCCCTGGATTAGTCCAAAGAGATTTCCATGGTGCATTATTAACCCTAGTATGCTAAAATCAACCTATTTGGCCTTAGTTCAAGCATTTAATGGCTATGATTTAAACCACATTAATTGTCAACTTGATTCTTAATCTCTTCAATAGGTCGATCCCAACTATATAATATGCTTAGTCCCTGTGTTTGGCTTAAGACCATACTTATGCCTACAATTCAATTGAACCCAATTATCTATAACTTAACTAAAATTGAGTTCATATTAAGTTGCAACCATTATTATGAATCCTTTGCGGGTCAACTTTTTTTTGTATAATGTATATTCTAAATAGGTATCCTATCACCAATCAAATATGCCCTCTAAAATAAGGATATTTACCTCAAAGCTAGCTTAGTAAGGAGCATTAATCTTCTCGTGTAACCATGAATCTTTCTTTAAGAATATCATTACTATTGTAAATTTTCTTCAACAGTTGTAACAATATTAACAGTATTAGAGTTGATTATATGCATATTACATATGAACCCTTTAACTATTATTAAAAAAGGCATCAAAGTTCTTAAAAACCTAATATAAACTTATATTAAAATCATCTCACGGACTTGCTTGATAATATATCCACTATAAATGATTAAATATGCTATCTACATGACAATATTCATTAAGTTTCTTTATAAATGATCAAGTATGCTATGTACATGACAATATGCATTAAGTTTCTTACTTGCGTGAAATGGGAGATAAAATTTGAGCGACATGAGCTTAATTATATCAGGCAAGCAAAATTTTTTTTTTGTTTGTTAATGTTCAAATATCTTTATTATTCAATAATTTTCTATGATAAAAAGATTAACATATTGACGAATGAATACATTGTAATAGTGATAAGATTAATTTATTAACTCGAGCAACCTCAAAGCTTGACTTAATATAAGCTTTATTTGACTCAAATGAGAAATTAAAGCACAAGCACTCAAAAGTATGCCAAGGCATTCGTTAGAGGAGGCCACATGAAATACACTTCAGCTTAATTAAAACTTTTAAAATGTACAAAAAACACAAATTTGACACACATAAAAGGGTATTGACTGTAGACCAGAAGCATCGCAATATATTGGTTGTACTAAATCTAAAGATTAAATAATATATCATTTATAATGACGATTCATCACAAAATCTTATAGCCATGATTTTTACCATAAAGAAAGATTTATGGTCTCAGTATAATGAGACATGTAAGTACATTGTGATTAACGTTATTTGAGAACCTTTTAGGAAATATTATTATTTTGGTGAAAGGGACATATTAGAAGGAATCTATAACTTTAATGCAATTATGCAAACCATGATTTAAATTTCTCATCTCTCTTTCTCTCTCTCTTCAATTGATCGTAGAAGACAAAGGAATAAAGAAAATTAACTATTCACTTCTAAAATCACCCCGACCCCTTCCCAAACGAACATATATATATATATATATATATATATATATATATATATATATATATATATGTTATGAACTATAAATTGGGACTAGAATCGAATTTAACCTAAAAATATATTCAAATAGGTTACTCGAGTTGTGTTTGAGTCAGTCGGGTTGAAGACTAGTTTAATTTGAGATAAAATTTTTTGAAGTTAGACGCATCAGGCCAAGTCAAATTAGGGTCATACCCTAATTCTACCCATTAGCCCAATTTAACACCTCTCTCACACAACTTTCATTTAGAAGCACATAATAAACTAATAAAGTTGCAATTAATGGTATAATCCCATAATAACATATTTTGGAAATAGAATACTAAAGCTTATGAAACTAGTATGAACGTGATTTTTACGTAGAGTAGGATTTTTTTTGAAGTTTTTTAGCAAAACAATTGATACACACATAGGATAGTGAGTTTAACTCTCAAAAGACTCTTATTTATCTTTCTCTTTATCACTCTATTCACGGTACGAGTTCTTCTACCGAGTTGTATTCTCTCACAAATGATACAAAACCCTACTTCTCAAAAGAATTTAACTGTGACCAAACATTGAGATAACTACCCCACAGCCTCTAACAAAGTGATATTTGAAGCTAAAACATCTAAATAATGCTTATATATATATATATATCTTTTCCACTTATGTG